CGCCTTTGCTGATAGCTATCGCTAGTACCGTTATAAGAGCGCTTTGTGTGCGTGTTCTATCGCACTTGTGGGTGTGCGAAGTGTGTGACTACTGTTTGCATCGCAATTCTCCACACAGCCCGCGCACCAATAACAGGTCTTATTTTTTGTTGCCGCATTTCGATTTCATTTCAACGGCCTTTGTTTGTTGTGGTCCATTTTTTCACACAGCTGACTTTTCGTTCACTTGACCGTATGTGTCTGCCTTGTGCTGTAGTTATCGTTACTTGCCGTATAACCCCACCTTCGCTTTTGTGCGCAGCGGCGCTGTCTTCTCGATGTTCAAAGCGTGAGTTTGTGTGCGGTTTTTTGTTTTGATACTTGCGAATCCATTGTTGTCGCTTCTTCATTTTGCCACTTTCACTTTTAATGCGGCTTTTAAGCCGAGTGCAATAAGTTAGCTGTAGGCCAGATTTTACGAGCAATACATTGCAGTTTTATTATTCTTGGCATTAGTGCTGTTGTTGTCATTATGTGAGCATCTTCCTGCTTTGTAGTTCCCAGCGCATGCATACGAGTATATCCGCAGACAAACTTAAGTGCACATGCAACTTGTGCATATAAAAGCAAACTTATGTATATATATACTACATACATACAAACATACTTAATGCATATTGTGTACATACATACGAATCCACATACATTAGTATACATATTCAGCTCCATCCATCTATTCAACTTGTTTGCACCTAGCAACTGAACTTCCTTTGGCGCATCGCGGTGTCTTTTCTGGTTTCTGCTGGCACTCTTGACTACAGCAAAAATAACAAAAATAGTCGTCATCGCAATAAATAGCTTCCTCGTTGCTGCACACTTAAATAGTTGCTGGCGTTTTCCGATACAAACACATTAACATATTCCCCAAGTGCCCTCTTTCTGCTTATTTATTGCAATTTTTAATAAATCCAAATAAAAAGTACTTGCATTGAATTTCTTTGCTGTCTCGTTGTTGGTATTAAGAGCATAACTCATCTTCAAGTCTGTTGTCAGTCGATTTATTTAAGCTGGCAATGCTTTTCTATGACATATGGTATGGATTTAGTAAATGATGTGCCCATGAAATCTGAAATAGCATATACTATCTGCAAAATATATTTAATAGATGTAAGGTTTTAAGAAATTGTATGTGAAAAAAAATTTAACACCCGCGGAAAGCGAACCTATATACTAGAAGACGCCATTTAAAGTTAAAAATTGTGAAATACGATTTCAAAAGAACCAAAATTATTCCCAAATAACACTGCGTAAACGATCAGGGGTTGTTTTAAGAAAATTGTTGATATTTTTACCGAAATACATATATGAATATGTATTATAAATTACAAATTTATTTTAAAGACACAATAAGAGGTCAAAGGTCAAATCTACAAATGTTATACAACGTGGTTTTGAACCAAAGTCATTGAACAAATTATAGCGAAACTTCGGTAATATGGTTGGCTTTCATAAGTATTATCATGGATCCATATTTAGGGCTAGATAATACACTATTTCCTGATTGATAAGTTAGCTGAGAATTAATAACTTTTCATATAAACTTCGGTATACGATATGCTCTAATGAAACTTAGAAAATAATGAAAATGTGTTGTGGTTGTTATACTCTCGCAACATGTTGCAACAGAGAGTATAATAGTTTTGTTCACCTAACAGTTGTTAGTATCACCTAAAACAAATCAATATAGATATAGAGTTATATACAATATATATGAATGATCAGAATGATGAGACGCTTTGAAATCCGAGTGAATGTCTGTCTGTCCATCCCTTCGTCTATCCATCTGTGCAAACGATAACTTGAGTAAATATCTTAATGCAACTTATTACACGTGTTCGCTGGCACCCAACGAGAGTTGGCCTGGCAAATGAGCAGCATCGGTTCCTTTCCATGCCTACAAAGTGCTGTTTAGCGAAAACATATGAATTGTCCATAACTAAGCACTAAATTGATATAAAAACTGTAATTTGGTACAACGGATCACAGTTTCTGTAAGAAGGCGTGGCCCCGCGCCTAAATGATTTAATGAACATATATTCCAAATTGCTAAAGCTAAATGAACCAAACTTGGTGATAAGAAGTATCTTTAGCATCCCTAGGTAATAGGTAAAATCAGATAACAACCACACCCACTCTCCATATAACGGTTATGTTGAAAACTACTAAAAGTGCGATAACTCGTTGAATAAATGCGTCACAAGAATTAAGTTTCACAACAAGAACGGCAGGGAAGGACTTTATGGGAGCCGGTGTAAAAATATGACAATCGGCGTGACACTGCCCCTCTCTGGGTGAAATCAATATCTAACCGATTTGTACCAAAATTGATGCGTAAGGTTTCCCAAATTTTCCTATTATACACTGTGAAAATGTGCGAAATCCGATTGCCAACAAGCCTTCTTCCCATAAAACAAATTTTTAAATTTCACCTGATATTTTTTACTTTTCAGTGTACAAATCATACATCAATTAAATTATCAAAATAAAACTTTGCCCAAATAGTGCCCTCAGGGTATTTCATCTAACGCCTGAAAATTGTCGAAATCGGACTATAAATTTCACGGACCCACATACCAAATAACCGAACATATCGGTCAATCTGTGAAATCTAGTTTAGAAATTTGGGAAAATATTTTTGTGATAACAGAATGCTCTTGTGCCTAAAATGGGTAAAATCGGGCCAATACTTCTCTTAGGCCTCATATTCCTAGTATAAATATTTTCGAATTTCCGGTTGAATTCATACCGTTTCTTCTTCCTTTGCCTAAAATGGATTAAACCAGGGCAATACTTCTCTTAGCCCCCACATACCTAATATTCGGATTTTCAAACACCCGCTTGACTTTATATCTTATATATTGGTCCATCTGTGAGGTTTCTTATAATATATTCGGCTAGATCCAAACTTAACCTTAGCATAAATTTGAGTAGTATAACATACTACAAGTATATACAGAAACCTATTAAAACACTGAACAAAACAGAAGATCGAGTGCTTTCGAACCCTTATCAAAGAGAAATAAATATTTTCACTTGTTGGTAAAACTTTATTTTGGACGAAATTGAGAATGGATTACAATAAAATAAACTGATACCTTTTCCAATATATTGCTGTAGGAGCAGCGATTGCATAGGAGCAAAATATTACACAAAAACCATTTGGCTACATACAAAAGAAACTTGATGGGTACCACCCGAATTAACGCCAAAAACTGTCATATCATATTGCGGGGAGCCAGTGCAAACGATGATCAAGTCAGGATTTACGGTCCAGTGGTTTTGCTATGTGCTTGGTGAGGTTAACAGGAAATCATCTACATTGGGCTACTACTTTAAAGCCAAACTCTTAAATTTGACTTGTACTCTCAGCAATTGAACCACCTGAAGGTAGCAATAACGCAGAAGCGGAAAGTTTTGGCCAATAGGAGAGAGTTGTATTCCATCAGGGCAATGCCAGGCGACACACATTAATGGTGACTCGTCTGAAGCTCCGGGAGCTTGGTTGGGAGGTTCTAGGTTCGGACCTTAGAGTCCGCATCTGTCACCAAGTGACTTGTTTCTGTATACTTCCTACTGACCGATATGCGATGTACGGTATAAATTATTACTCCAATTTGGCCATCTCTCAACGGTAAGATAAAAATGTTAAGTAAATGTTGTGTTTATACATGATATGGTTGGTCGGGTGTGTGCTGAAATATGAGATTTCCTTTAAAAGTGGGTACTGTTATTTTCACACCTTATGGTATAATACTAAGAGGAAATGTTCTCACCAATTTTTATTTATATAGCTTTCCAAAAAATGTTTATCCACAGATGCCTCTCCTTTTTGTGATCTACCAATAAATTTTAGTTTTGTGGCGTAGTTAAAGCACTTTATACTGTTTCGCTTAAGGGCATTTTGTGGGGTTGGTAATGCCTCCTGATAGTGTCGAGGAATACGTGTGCCAAGTATCAACGCCATATCTCAATTTAGATCCATGTTATCGTTTACACGGCAGACATCCGACAGGAGCAAGAAAGGTAAGAATATCACACATAAAGTTATTACTATTTTTTCTTCTTCCCTTGCATTTGAAAAATTACAAAGAGAAAAAGTTAGGAGGGCTTAGTTCAGGTATAACCGAACATTTCATAATCTTGCAAATTGCGTTACGTATATGGGAGATAGAGGTAGTATTGACCTGAATATATCTAATTTTGGCTTAACGACATATTATTAACTGAAAACGATGCTCTCTGAGTTTCATTAATGTCCTCTCTAACCATCTCCAATATAATAGGAGTAAAGTTAAGCGGATGCTGAATATCAGTTATATAGGTGTTAGGGCAAGTTTTACCCGATTTTATCCATTTTATTTAATTGATCCGGTTCAATCCATTTCTGACATACAAGCATAATATTATTAGGAGAAGACTTTTTCCGAATGAAAATAATGTATTACACAGTTTGACCAACATTTTCGATAATAATTTTGCAAAAGGAACTGGGTTCCACATATTCGGTAGCTGGGTGCTTGAACTATTGTAGCCTCATTTCGAAAACTTTGGGTCATAAGGTGGCACACCTTAAAGGCACTATTTGTGCAAAGATTTATCGAGATACATTGATTGGTTCTTGATTTGTATACTGAAAAGTGAAAGAATCAGATGGAATTCAAACTTTTGTTATATGCGAAGTAGGCTTTGCGTTTGTCTGATTTAGCCCATTTTTGCACTGTAATTTAATAAATTTGGATTTCACCTAATGTGGGCGGTGTTACGCCTTTTGTTCAATTTTGACACTTGCTCCTATAAACCCCATTTGTGCCATCACGGATGTCAAACTTGATGTCTCTGTCACATTTGTTTTTTGATTTATCGCTCATTTAGTGGACTCAACAAAACCGTTATATGGGGCGGAGTTACCATCCGATTTTACCTTTTTCCACAATATCGAGAGAACGGTTAAAAAACCTTGCTTTATGCAAATATTTAGTAGTATAACTTTATTAGTTTGGAAGACATATACATTTAACTTATAAGGGGCCCATTTTTTAATCGTTAGGTGAATCTTTCATAATCTATAGCAACATGAGACAAGAGTATAAAAATGGTTGTATATTTTATTGCCAACATAATTTGAAAATAAACGCTATATACTATGTATAATACATATAAATGATAATGCGGTATATACCATATATAGATCGATTACTGATAATGCGGTATATACCATATATAGATCGATTACCAAAAACCAAGTTTATATTGTGGTTCATCAGTTGCATTCACACAAAATATACCGCTGATATTAAAATTTGTCGGCCAGGCCATTAACTCTGGACTAAGCGTTGAGCCACACGCATTCTCTATGGCATCGGTATATGTGGCACACTTAATGGATGGGTACTTTTTTCCTTTAAGCGCCTCTTCACAATACGCTACCGCTTGCATGTGCGAACAGTAACCAAACATATCAGGTGCGCATTTGTACTGTCTTTCTCCACCATTCACATAGAAGGCACTGTGCCCGATGGGTTCTCTTAAACCTAAAAATTCACAGTTCGTGTGCATGCTCTCCACATATGTTGCATCTGTTTTACACAATCGTTTTTCACAAAAACAGTAATCGAATAGAGGTCCTGCTGGATCCAGGCCAAAAATAGTGTGTATTTTTCCGAATTCAATATATTTTCCAGCAAAGCCTGCTACATGTGCACCCAAACTGTGACCGATCACTTTAATCTTATAGCAAACGGCTGGGTAATTTCTACAAAGGAAATTTATAAATTTAGCCACAATCTCACCAACCGGCCCGACTGACTTAGCAGCATATACATAATTGGGATTCATGGATATATAACCCCAATCCACAATAATGACATTTGTATTGTTCCTAGCAATTGCGGCTGCTGCCAATGTCTTACACATAGGTGAATTCCTATTATTTAACCAGCCGTGTACAATAAAGTATAAATCTAAATTGAGATTAAACGGGCACGAATTTAAAGCGTTTACATCGCCTATCCGTAATCTACAAGGCTCAGTGGGGTTACGACTAGTTAAAAGAAGGAATTGTACATCCCTCTCCCTTGGAGTAAAGGGAAGAATTGTTGCTGCAAGTGTCACTGCAGTAACAGGAAGAGAAACTCCAGAAGTCTGTGGTATAAGCCAGCTTTCGGTCGCATTACAGTTGGTATTGTCAGCCGGTACTAGAGATTAAAGGGTAGTGTAGTGTCTTTGATATTAAATATAATTAAACTACGTAACTAAAACATATCTGCAGTACTTACCCAAACCTAAGAGACTTGTTAATAGCAAACTAACCATACTTGGCACAATGCTACAATGATTTTGCATTCCTTGTACTTTTTAAATTTCTGTTATAGAACGCTTAAATTTTCCAACCAAATGAGGCCACCTTGAAAGTTGTACTACTTGTGCAAAAATAACATCGAATGGTGCTAAATACCTACCTTATAAATCATATGATCTTCCAACATATTCAAGGGCGCCGCAAACGTTCGTTGACTTAAAAAAAATTGGTTGTTAATATTTGTGCAAGTGGCACTGGATCCTCAATATGCTTTTTGTTTTTTTTTTTTGAAAAAGAATAAATAAACGTCTAATTGCCAATTGAGAAGGCTCTTCTATATGACATCGTAGCACATTTTTTTAATTTTCGTACATAAATGGATCCATAATTTGACAAATGTTTCAACGCCTCTGTGCAACTTCATGTACATTTTCCATAACACATTGATTGAATATTTGGGAAACATGCATTTTTAGCATACAAAAACCAAAAAATAATTTTACTTCAGCGGCACTGAAGCTATAATACTGTTTACAGATGCATTTCTTATAACAAATATGTATAGCTAAATACAAAAAAAGTCACCGACCAACGGTTTGCGTCAAGGAGGAAATATTTTGCTGGTGCTACCTAGCCACGTTGTTTGACATAAACAACCGTAATGTCGATATAAGGTTACTTAATGAGGAAAAAAGACCTTTTCTTAAGAAATGTTTTTTGATTTTGTCCGGTCAGTTTGAATTAAAGACATATTAGGACAGGAAAAAAAACTTAAAATTGTTTTCCTTGGTTACCGTGAAAATATCGTCTTAACATTAGTATTAACAGGTGACTTATTGTGATTTTTGAATTCCACATAAATAACACAGGAATATTTTCATAATTTGGTTGGAAGTTTAATACATTTGTACTAATTTCTGTAAAACTAATTGTTTTCGTATTAAAAAGGAATAAAATCGGATTATTGCTACCTCTATGCTCCATTTACCTATTATACGATTTTCAAACTTGGGTTGACCTTATACCGTATACATAGGTCAGACTTTATGCCGAATATATCGGTATATGTGTGATTCATCTTCGTAAGTTTGGGTATTATATACGTCCTCTTTGGTTGTGTTTATACTACATCTATCCCATTTGAGTTAATTATATTGATTTTAATATAAATATCTGAGACAAGCAAAAAGTAGGGATGAAAGTGAGTTAGTGTATGCTCTATATAATTATAAGTTTTATTTAAATTTTGTCAACATCTAAAATTATTTCCTTACATGTTATTTATACATATTTTGTGTGTATATGTAAAACTACATTTAAGAATTTTGAACTAACTATGTTATTTAAACAGCTGCTTCGCCCAAATTGCTGAATGCCTCTTTTACACTCATACCCTTTTTAAGTATGATAATTCTAGGCGTACAAATATTTGTTAACTTAAATATATCTCGTAGAACAGGTGTGTATAATATTTACATATGTTGTACTCGTATTCTTTCTTATATTATATTAAAAAATGAGTAAACTGAAAATATAGAGTTTTGTAAATCGTTTTAGGGAAATTTTCCGGCATATTTGGCAAGAATAATGGATTGGACTTAAGTTTCGTATTTTTAGCACGCTTTTATCCGAAATCATTTTGCGAAGAGATTAATGCACATTATACTTCTTATTATTTCTTCATGTCTTGAGGGGTTAGGATGGGGTGAGAGAGAAAATAAGATGGAAGATATCGTTTGAAAATACTTAGAGGAAAAAAACAATGAAGGGAACTTTGGGAGGAGACAAGTGGTCTCTATAATTTCTTAGTAATTAAAATATTTTTATAGCTATGACTTTAAGAACTCGACAACTACCATAAAGAATTTAACCAAAACTCTTGATAAAAATATAGAGAACCTTTTTTATGTTTACATATGTTAAATCAAGTAAGCTTTTAACTTTAGATAGTACTACTAACGAAATTGCAGATAGGTTTATTCGTCATATAAACCAGACTAATTTTAGCAAGAAATTAATAAGGAATACTAAGTAAAGCAGAAAAACTTAAATCTTTTAATATTAAACATTGACCATAACTATTTCGCTCAAACGCGAATATAGGTGGGATATACCTACATATATGGATACTGACATTCATTGCAGTTGTCGTCTTGACTTTAACAAGTGCTGTATTCAGAGTGTGTAAATATGATTACACCGCTGTTAACTCCAAAATTTTTCTGGTCAGGTATTTCCCAAATGTTGCTAAGTTTGAAAACGTGTCTTGCATGATTGATTTGCACTAAAATCGCGTGTTAATTTGCCAAATGCAAAACGCTTTATATTAAACCAGATATGTATACATATACTTGTACATATGTATATCAGAAGGAAACATGCATAAAAATGTATACAAGAGTATATTTTTATTATTACTATATTACGTGTCAGCAGTTTGGTTAAAAAACGGTGAAACTCAGGCGCACGACCTAATTTCTCTAAAACTCTCTTAGCTTTGACCTTTTAACTAACCTATTGTGCGATCAACAGGTTCTTTGAGAACCACACTGGGACCGGGCTCAGGGGTTTTCATATGTTGTTCTATTCATATCGGACTATCATTAACTAGACCAAAAATTTTAAATCACACCCAGAGCTATGAGTAATCGTGAATAGTAGAGATAAACTTGAGAATATTCATATTTATTTTTTCCTTCAGGCGTAATGAAAGAAGGAAAATATTACATCATATAAAATATCATATTTGATTTTTAAAATAATTTTTGAACAGCTTTAAGGCCGAAGATAGTATACAAACAGTTGCATAGGAAAGTTTTGCGGGTTTTGTGTTCTGTCTATTCTTTCAGTCTACAGATATCTTAAACTGTTACAATTATTTTTTATACTCGATAACCGAACGTGGAAATATTCAATAATTAAATAATTTTATTTTTAAATAGATATAAAGACTTTTTTCAGTATACAAGTATATTAGAATTGACCAACCGTTATTTTCTTTCAAAAAGTTTCAATATAATATAAGCTCAATGAGACATATCAGATTATCTGTGAATAAAAGAGAATTAGGTCAACGCTGTTGACTCTAGGATCGCTCAGCTAAGTCAAGAAATCAGTTATTACCACAAAATTTGATGGCATAAACCCTTAAAAAATACAAACACATGCTTTTGTGATTTTTTTTGTGACGTTGTTAAAAAATGTTCACGGAGAGAAATATTTAAATTTAAATTATTGGTGTGGCGGGAAATAACTTCGTGTTAAATCATCCGAGCCAAAAAACAAGGTTCATTCCGTAGATAACAGTTTTCTTCAGTCACCACTGAGGGCTTTTCGTAATTAAAATTGAAAGGAATAACTTATTTTTACTCAAACAAAATTTCCTTCTCATAAACTATGTACAGAAATAGTGTTCAAATTTCAAAATTATCGATAGCTTAGAAGTTATTCGCACACCAACTTTAAAACGTGAGTTGTGGGGACAAAGCTTTAAAGTTTCGACTGAAACTTTTTTTATAAAATGTTCATAAAACAGGTATGAAAATATTCGCAACTTCGTCAATTTTCAGCTCATCAACTCAGCCGGATTGAAATTTTGACACAATATTCTTGAATTACGTATTTAATTTAATAATACAAAATAAAATTAATTTTTTCTCCTCGACTGCTCGCTATACTAGGGCACTGTGGTGACTCGTAAACACATTTTGATACTCTGTGATGTATGCAGCAGAAAATTTAAACAAGTGCTAACCTCCTTTTTGTGTTTTTATGCTTATATTACACAAAAATATATAAACGGACGCACTGCAATTGCGCCGTTGCAAACATTTGCTTTGTAGGTGAACTGCTTTCATTATTCACTGACATCATTACCTTAGCCGTTTGTTGGCTTGGCTGGTCATTTAACGCCACACAGCAGTAAAAACAACAAAAAATTTACCGAAGCGTTGACAATTATTAGCAGCACGCAGTAGCCGTAGATAAACCACAGTCACGGGCGCTACACTAACGGTACTTAAACATCCGCTTCAACGCGATTAAATCGCTTCTGTGGAAAAAATACAAAAAAACACAAAAACACAATATCAACAGTACCGACGGACATTCCTCCCCATCCCAACGGCGGCTGATACACTTTTGTATATATTATATATAATCAATGTAGACAAAGGCCATTAAAAGCCTCTAGGTAAACAAACCAGTGTACACTAATCGTCAAGTTAGTGGCCGCCGTGGTGTATGTGTGTCATTTGCTGCTGTTTTTGTTTTGCTATTTTTTTTTTTTTGGCTCGGGGTCATCTCTGCTGGACTCTGGCGCACCTTACTTGTGAACGTAAAATTAGAAATACTGAAACATTGCAAGTGCGATCGCCCCGCAGTTGGATACCATGCAATTTTATCAAAGTAAGGCACACACGCGAATAATATTTGTTTTTGCGAGAGTTGATAAGTTAATTCAGAGAGCCGTATACATGATGCGTACAACGATCAGCTAATTGTTGTTCACTTTTCAAATAAATTAGTTGCTCTCAACATTTTGCAACTGTAACCCAATTACCATTTATATACTGCTGATTTCGAATGGAAGAAAGGGAAAGTCTTTAAAATTTCATGTTATTTTATTTTATTAGTATTCAAATTCGTATTTTCAGACTAATTCAGGTTATAATTAGTCTGAAAAATCAGAAAACATAAAGTTTGCCACGATGTTTGTAAGACTCAGAAGAAAACTTCGGAGACCCGACATACTTGTATGTATATACGTGAACTAGTCTCACTGTTTTTGAGACATCGATCTTCCCCAAAATTTTAAACACATCTTTTTCTCCAGAAGAAGCTGTTGATTTGTGAGAACTTTAGTTTTAGAAAAGATATCTTCACAAAATTTAACATGAATCTCCCAGCTAATGCTACAAACTCCTAATAAATCTTTCATTTCGGACATATACCTGCCATTCAAATGGACCAAGCTAAATCAAGATACAAATTTTCATTAAAGATATTTTTTTTCATTAATTAACCATATTTCGACTTTAAGGGTTTATGTCAAACAAAGGGCCTGAAAGAACCAGCAAAGCGTTTTCCGTTGGATAAAAACCTTTGATCCGTTTATGTTTTTAGATTTTGTTATAGG